ATTCGTGTATATACACGCACACAGTTTATCACAATAATGACAAGTAGATAAAACACAATTGATCATTTCGATATGTAGAATCTTAGAAGTTTTATAACATAGAAGAAGTATGTAAGAATAATTTATTATCAAAATCATATTAAAGAAATTTATGATCAACAATAAAAAGAAAAGCAATGAAGAGATATTTTTCAAGTATTTACTAATCATAAAACTATCAGAAGAAAAAATAAATTTTAAGAAAATCAGTTGATAAATAGTTCATGTGTTTGATTATAATTTGAGTTTTATTAATAAATAAACCAATTCGAATTTTTTTGTTATTTGTTGAATTTGAATTCTTGATTAGGCATGTGATTTCTTTAAATCTTGTAAAAAACAAAAGTCTGACATTAATAGAAAATGTGATCGATTAGTCATCATGCATTTGCGTATTTTCGATCGATGTCATTATTTGTATCATTTTCTGACGCAAAAATATTAATAGAATATGTTTTGCACTTATGGAAAGGTCATCTCTGAGTATTTGTCACGTTTACATGCACGTGGTGATGCTATTTTCTTTTTGTATTATCAGTAAATAAGAGCGTAGCAATCATAGCTATTTGTTAATAGCCGATATTATCAATATGAAAGCATCCATCCGAAAAATAAATTGACGAAATAAGAATGTATCATAAGAAATTTTTGTATAAGTTTTATAAAACTCATGAAAATAAGGGAGAATAATAGTTTAAAAAATTTTACTGAGAATGCCAACGGACATAAAGTTGGTATAATAACAGGTTAATAGTTGATTTTGAGAATATTCATATACTATTGTATTTAATTGAAGTTATAAGTAATAAGCAGTCAAGAGCAATTCAAGTAAAACGTTTATTATTATATTATACTCAAGTAGAATTTCTAAATTGCTTGTTCCAAGTACTGACGTGAAGGTAACTAATTCTATATGCAAAAATAGCTTTAAATCAATGTCAATCGCCTTTTTATTGATGAAATCTATTTCCCATTGATAATGTCATGAATATTATTATAATTAATTATAATATGTGATAAAATTTTAGATAAATTTTTTAATAAAAATAGAACATAATTATAAAGCGAATTTTTAATTTCTATTCGATAGATGTAGTTAATAATCAATCATTCAACTTCCTTCGAGTGGCGTATGTCATAATTTCTATTTCTTATTTTGAATATCCA